GCATATTAAAACTGGATATTATATTAAAAGTAGTACTCCCATTTAATGTGAAACTTGAACTTAAGTCAGGTAGAAACACAAGGTCATAGGTACCCTTATGTTGTTGGCGATGATAAAACAACAAATTTACATACCGTCGCTGTCTGGCGGAAACAGTGTATATCCAAAAGCATTACCACTTCCAAATGCACTATCCAAAGATTTTTATTTTTTTTTATAATTAAACAGCGTAATCCGAGTTGGTATTGTGGCTTTATATATGATCAGACACTTTTTATATATGATCAGAGGTTTTTGACCAGCAAATGACGGCAATATGTGTTTTGTCCGTCATTAGAACAGCCGCATGTGAGGCAGTGAGTGCATCGCATTGCATTTTCTTACAGGTTATAAAGTTTATTGTAGCTATATGGATGCACTTTTTTTTTGTTGTTGAATACTTTTGGCCAAAATGTCATGATATAAAAGATGAAGCGCTATGCACAGGATATATGAAAAACATAGCTCTTCTGCGCTCTTCAAACACACACACAAAAATAAAATAAAAATTAGCATTAATAGACAATGTTTCTTGAGTAAAGAAAACACTGTACTTATTCAAACGTCAGTTCTTTATTTACCCTTACATCACGAACGGGTAGAGATCTGTCTCCAGACTGGAGTTACGAGGTTTCGCTGACAGTTTGAGGATTCAATGGCGTTACGAGTTTTACTCACAAGCTCTTTTGAATGCTTTCCATTGGTTAAATATTTGTAAAACCCACAAACGGATGTACAGATTAGCATTGATTCAAAATAATAATAATAACGAAATATACTGAACAAAATTATAAACACAACACTTTTGTTTTTGCCGATTTTTTTTTTTAAAGATTGTTTTGATAAATTTCCATGGCAGACCTGACAACACTGTGCCGATTCCGATTGAGTCATCAGTTGAGGTAATGTATGTTGCCAGCTGAATAAGATGTCCCTGTAACAGGCAGGAAACATGATCTAATAATGTGTCATCAGGTGCCTTGCTTCACATGTTACCAGTCCCGTTCCCTTCCCTTCTGACAGCTAAGGCATTTGTTTTCTTCCATGCTTGTGTAACCATGTCAACTCAGTGGTCTCTTAACAAAGATTCTTTGTGTGAGGTAAATGTGTTAAATGCCAGCATTCCATGTCAGTAATTCCATCGGTATCGTAGCTCGTAACTCATAACAGTGCAACTACAAGGAAATGTAAGTCGCCTGAAACTACCTACCCTGTTACAAAAAGAGCGGAGCTCTACTGCTTTTCAGTACAACATTAATCAATTTGCTTCTAATATTTTTTTTCTTGTTTCTTGAAATCTAACTCCGTCTTATGACATTTCGCCTTGCATTTTTTCTGTACATGGAAGAGCCATGAGTCTCTTTAATAATTAAAAAAGTTATTAGACAACGGGTGTATTCAGCACTTTCATTAATATTTTTAGAAAAGTTTCATCTGGGAAATGTTTTGAATTATTATCAAATATCAAACTGAAAGACTAAAAGACTAATTTTGTGAGACTTTTAATTAAGTGTTGTTGTTGTATTTTTTAATTGTATATTATTATATTAGCTATTATAAATATATATATCAATTTAATTAGAGGTGCTCCGATTGATCGGCTACCGATCATTATCGGTCGATAATCACGTTGGAATGATTTATCGGTGGTCTCTAAAAAGGCCGATCTCAAAAAAATGATCTCAAGCTGATGACGCTGCCATGAGAGGTTTGGCATGACATGCAGCGGCACCGTCTCAGTCTCTGTCCGGCACGGGTGAAATCATTATAATGCTGAAGGTGAGATACTCACCTTCGTATTTCTTCATTAAATAACTTATAAAGTAATTTGAAAACATTGTGTGACACGAAATTTCACAAATAGCGAGAGTGAGTGACCGCACACGCGCTCTCTCAAAATACGCAAATGTCTTCAAATCACCACATTGCGTCTATCTATAAGCGAGCTGCACACTGCACAGTTGGCACAGGAATTGTCACTTGCACAATCGAGGCGGTGTCACATTGTCACTAAAGTTTATAAATTGCATTACTTTTTAATTCTTAACACTCGCACTCGCAGCGCACACACATAATGCCAGGTTCACATTACTCAGTTTGCAGTGCGTATTTTTTCCTCGCTCATGTTAACAGATTAATAAAGGGCGCACACTGCACACCGTTGCTGTCCGGCAGTGCGTTCCACAAGCGGTGCGTCTGCAGGAGTGCAGAGATGGTTTCCGCACCGAGTCTACTGCTGCACTGCAAGCGCTGAATTAAAGTAACAGCGCATTTTTGCAGTAAATATGAACATGGATTGACACGAAAATGTAGTAATTACACCATGAATGCATATTATTAAAGTCTACTGTGTTTCACAGTCAACACATATGGCTTTTTGGCTAGGTTTAAAAGGAAAGAGCCCTTTTAGATAAACAAGGCAATAATAGATGGCAGGTAGGAAAACAAAGTTCTTTATGAACCGCAGGATTGCATTTAATAAAGATTTAAATGCAAAAGGAAAGGCAGTAGAGCTGACTATTTCTGTCAATGGTAAGTTTGCGATAACGTAAGAAAAGTAGTTTAAATGTTTTGCCACTTGCTTGAGCAACTTAATATATAAATCTAAAGTAAATGCAAAATTAAAAAGCATTGAATAATGTGTTGCTTATGTTTATTGTTTAAACATGTCTTTGAAAGATTGTTTTACTGTACTGTGTAAAAAAAAAAGAAAAAAAGAATTGCAATGCTGAAAAAGCAATATCAGTGACAGTGTTTGGATTTGAAATCAAAATCATAGATAAATGTTGTATTTGTGGTAAAAGACTAAAAGACTAATTTTGTGAGACTTTTAATTAAGTGTTGTTGTTGTATTTTTAGATCTTTGAGTTTAGCTCATGAAACTAAATTTAATTTTCTAAATAATTGACCAAATACTCAATTACCAAAATAATTGTTTGTGACAGCCCTAATTAAAATTAATTAAAAGTATTAAAAAAGTAAAATATCTTACTGACCCCACATTTTTGAATGCTAGTGTAAATCAAAATCCATAATTTCCTATTTACAGGTCATATATATATATATATATATACAGTGGGTACGGAAAGTATTCAGACCCCCTTAAATTTTTCACTCTTTGTTATATTGCAGCCATTTGCTAAAATCATTTAAGTTAATTTTTTTTCCTCATTAATGTACACACAGCCACACACACACACACTCACAGTATATCTATGGTAACATCAGTCTAAATATCAGGAGTATTTGTTCTGTCACAGGTGTCTAGGTAAGAAGTCTTTCTCAAGCCAAAGCTGGGTTAATCAAATAGAACACAAACCTCTCTTCAGTATCTCATGGCTCCTTGATCCACTTCATGCCCCTTAAACCCAACAACTGCCACTCCACAACTGTGCTTTTCCGCCTCTTGACCTGAGTGCTAATAGTACCCGCAGAGTTCACCAGCTCTTAATGTACACATTCATGGGCATGTCTGTCAGGTTTTTTATTTTTATTTTTTTACAATACTATAAAGTCATGTTTGGTTTAATCAAGGACTAGTTAAGCATTTAGTGTGAAGTTTAAGAGCATATAATAGGAATAGGTCCAAATAGCCTGTTGAGTTGTCTCCTGTTGGTATTGACCTGTCAGGCTTGTAACAGCACTGCAGTGAGACTGAGTAGCCTGAAATTTGGTGGGTGGTTCAAGGTGCCCTGCTCTTTCAGCTTGAGAGCTCTTTTTGTCACCATTGAGCAATAGTGTGTAGCGTAAGATCTATTACCCACTGAAACCCATGTCCCCGTACAGTAGAAATCAAAGGCTTCTTTGAGAAGGGTCGTCTTTGAGAGTTCCACTCTCCATTCTCTGAGTGCCATTCATCTGTGGACAACAGGTATTTGTGGAGACACAAAACACAAACATGCTTCTATACTCTCAGATCAGGGGTTTATTAACTTTAACATAAAAGCAAATATCCGTTAAAGCTATTAAAGCAGCGAACTATTTTTCTTTTGCTCTTTTTGATTATCATCATTTACATAAGAAATGCATGGATCCGTTATACTGATGTACATTTGATATTTACTTTACTGTTTACATTCACTTAAAACAACCGACTGTGCTTACAAGGGTACTTGTCAAGACAGCCATTGGTATTCACCTGCTGTCTGAGAAGGCTATCTGTTTGTGCACTTCAGGTGTGTGAGCGGTGCGCATAGAAACGCTATCACAGTGCGTGAGCACCGCATTGAGATGTCTTGGGCTTAAATGGCTTAAAATTACTTCAATGTTTAAACTGACAAGACTTAAAAAAACGTGAGAATGAAAAACTTTCTTGAGGAAGCAGCACTGTCCTGATCGTTAAAATAGTTTTGGGGGGCTAAGGTGACAGATAGGGGGGCTGATACCCACCTAAAAAGGGTTTAGAACCACCCCTGGTATAGCATGCGTAATTATACTGAAACATAAATATATAACCAGTTTACCTGATTCAATGTGATGGCTGAGCCTGTTTCTGAGATAGCATGCCAATCCGTGGTTGGATTTCCGACACGGCTAATCGTAAATAATTTTACACTGTCAATAATCGTGACCAGGGTTGCCAGGTTTTGACAACAAAACCTGCCTAATTGCTACTCAAAACTAGCCCAAAACTACAAAACGTGGCACAAGTGTTAAAGTGTCCCAATTCCGCGGGAAAACCGCGGACTTGGCAACACTGAGCGTGACTGATACTCGAGCCAACTCTGCTCTAACTGTCGACCATGCTGTCGACTAGCAGTGGGAGTCAGATAGCCCCCTAGTGGATGGCTAAAGATTTGTTATCTCTTATTCATAAATTCTCAAGGGAATGTCTCCGAATTAACTGATGCTCCCCCCTGAGTGTCCATATATTTTGGGTTCACTGTGGAAGAAGAAAGTATTTAACATTGATTTCTGGATTGGTGCCATTCTCCTTATGTCAATATTTCACATTGTTTCAGGTACAGGAACCTTTGGAAGGGTTTTTCTGGTGAAGGATAAAAAGACAAGAGGTTTCTTTGCTCTGAAAGCGATGAAAATCCCAGATGTGATTCGCCTGAAGCAGGAGCAACACGTACATAATGAGAAAGAGGTTCTGACGGAGGTGAACCATCCTTTCCTTGTCAGACTGTAAGTGAACACTACACAACATTAACTGTTGTTAAAAATAAAAAGAGCTATGTTGTACAGTTAAAAATAGCTGGAAGCGAATGAAACCGGACACATTAAATTTACCGCGCCCGCTCTTACAGGAATGTAATGAGAATAGATAATAATCTATACTATACCAGTGGTTAGCGGACATAAAAAAAAAATATATATATATATAATATATATATATATATATATATATATATATATATATATATATATATATATATATTGTATTTTAATTTAATTTATTTGTTTTAATAATTTTTTATTTTTTGAAGTGGGTTCCCATGGTCTTGAAAATCCAGGATATATGAGGTAGTCTAAGGTGGCTTTCACACTGGACTCATTTACTGTGGTTTGAACCCGAGTGCGATAGTTCCCGGCACTCCCTGCAGCGTTGGTCTGGTTTCACACTCTCTTGATTCTATCGACTGCATTTGCAGTCATCTTACATCATCACAAACGTGCACAACGTATGATAGAAAACAGAACGTGCGTCAATATATTGTGTTTTTTAAATTAATTTGGTGCTATTATGCACAACAGAGTAAATGACATATGGGTTTACTGTATGTGCGTCGCATGTAGATGGCTATTTTGAGGAGACAGCGGATTACCATTCATTTGCCACTCTGATTGCAGTTGCTACACGCGAATACACTGCACTCTCGCTCGAATCCAAGGTAAATCAGCAACACTATCATCACTTATATGTGTGTTATTGAAGAAAATACATTGTAATTGGCTAAAATGCATGGGCATGTTACTTTACTTCCTGAACAAGTGTGCACCCGAGTCCGTGTTGCTTTCATATTCACACGAACCGAGCCACAGTTCGAGTGCAATCACCTCCTTCAGGTAGTCTCGGGTTCGGATCCCCGCAAAATGTGCTAGTGTGAAAATGCCCTAATTTTAAAAGTGAGATTTATAGACCTGGAAATGTCTCAAAGATTAATGCAAGCTTATAACTCCATGGGCATTTTCATAATGAATATTGATTTTTGTAATTATGCCAAGTTTTAAAATATTTTATCAGGTAGAAATTGTGAGTAAAAAATATTTAACTCTCTAAAAACTAAAAAAAAACATGGGGCCTTTGAATATATTTATGGGCAATGTGGGGCCTTGAAGTCAAAAAGGTTGAGAACCACTGTACTATATCATGATTTTTGGCATTATGGCATGACCTCAGCTTGCTATAGAGTTCCTACTGTAATTATTGGTTGTTTACAATTGTTTTATGCTTTTGTAATGTAAGTCCAGGTTTTTTTTTTTATGTATAGCCCATTTGTCACAAGCATATGGCAAGTATACATATGTATATGTAACTATTGTATGACCAAATCACATGTAACGCATTATGTTTTCTCAGGTTCTGGACACACCATGATGATCGTTTCCTGTACATGTTAATGGAATATGTGAATGGTGGTGAACTCTTCAGCTATTTACGCAGCCGAGGGCGTTTCAGCAACAGCACTGGAATGTTTTATTCAGCTGAAATTGTGTGTGCCATTGAATACCTTCACTCCAAAGAAATCGTCTACAGAGACCTGAAACCAGAGAATATACTGCTGGACAATGAGGGGCACATTCGATTGACAGATTTTGGATTCGCAAAAAAGCTCTCAGAAAGGTATGTTGGCAATTGGTTATCTACAAAAACAACATTGTGTAATTTTCATAAAGTCATGTTGTATGTACACACTACACACACACACACACACACACACACACACACACACAGAGAAGTCTCTTATTCTTATTTTTTCTGTTTGTTGTTAATGTCTCCTCAGCTGATGTATTATTACACTGACATATACTAATTTCCCCTTAATACACTCCTAGATAGATCTGTTGATGTGAAATATTTTGAAGTTATTTTACATAAACCATGGAGAGAGAGATAGCTGAGCAGCAGTTATATGAAGTGTGTGTCCTTGAAGATTAAAGTTGATTTTAAGATTAGATTAGGCATGCTGTAGATTTTTCCCTTCATTCCATGGCATTTTAGCATTCCCAGTGTTTTGTTTTCATTGTCAAATTAAATGTAAGCAGTTAGACCTGCTTTGCTAAACCTTTGAAATGTTGTAGGGGATCAAATTCAGTTGAGAGTTTCATGGAGTTTTTCAGAATCTGTGAGGTTAGTGACTGAAAATGCAGTAACGGACCACCACGTCACTCTTCGTCCTTCAAAATATCCAACTGAATGCCTTCATTCACTCATACAGTGACTCCCCCTACGAAAAAAAAACATGTAGGATTGCTCCTCTGCGGGTATTAAAGTTGTCCTAATATGAGCGTTTTTAACAAAAAAAAATGCTTTGTTTGGCTCCCTTGAGCATCCATCAACCCACCGTTATTAATTCTGAATGAGTGCGAGCAATGGACCCTGGACCAATTTAAGAGTAACCTTGCTGAAATTGAAAATCCCTCTGGTTGTGCCCCCTGATAGTATCATTCAAATAATAAAAAAAGAACAAAAGGTTGTGTGTGTGTGTGTATCTGCGGTGCACAGTACTGCAGTGCTTCTGCAGAGCAAAATGATGTGTAAGTGTAATGGGACGTGATTCTGTTTCTTTGCACATGAGGAAGGGCCCAAAACATTGGGGGTCTGACTCTGATGTGCAAGTGAGCCACATATAGAAACTGAAAGCAGTGCCTCCGGTCCAATGGAGAAGACAACTGTCCCTGCAAGCAACAGCTTTGTCATTTCCAGTCTGAGTAGATAACGTCTGCACAGATTGTCATGTGGCAACAATGCCACCTGGTGGCTATATTTACATTTGGCTTTATGTTCAGAGATATTTGCTGTTTGCCTTGATCAACGGTTATTTAAAGCACCCGCATTGTTAAAATGAGGACAGGATGAGGACTTTGGAAATCTGGTCTTGATCAGACAATCAGGTTTTTTTTATAGCATTAGGGCATTTTTTAATCTGTTTTTCTTTTATCATCTTGTCAGAATGCCTTGATCAACGGTTATTTAAAGCACCCGCATTGTTAAGATGAGGACTTTGGAAATCTGGTCTTAGATCAGACAATCAGGTTTTTTTTATAGCATTAGGGCATTTTTTAATCTGTTTTTCTTTTATCATCTTGTCAGAATGTCTACTCAAGATGAGGGCTTATTATTGTGTCAGAATTACTGATGAATTAAAGGGCTCGTATTGTGGTCGTGTTTGGGGGCGAAGGAGGAAACTTGTCAAACGGTAGCTGCACAGTTTCGAGTGGCCAATCAAAAAGAAAACACAAAGAGCAATTCAGAGAAGAGTCACCTTCATCACAACAGCTTTGATGTACTAAAGGTCCTTTTTGGCTGTGCATTTTGAGATGTTTACATGCTTGTTACAGCAATGACATACACTTGTCAGCCGTCACAGCAAAGAGTATCGGTTAAATAAAACACAGACAGGCCTACCTTTTCTAGTCAGACACACAAACACTGCCATGTAGGCAAACATATTGCTAAGTGAGTCGTCAGGCATGCTTATATTAATAACAGGATCCGATCTTGGTAACCGGAACAGTTTCTTCGCTGCTCCTATTAGTGTGCAGTCTGATATAATTAGAGTAAACATAAATCATCAGAGCCAATCGAAAATCACATCACACCAGACCTCTCACAGTTCATTGGAATGCTGTTGTGATCTGACACTGAGAGGCTTCAGTTAACACAAGGGAGACTAATCCTCTCTATTACAGAGAGAAGAACTAAAACCAGACAGCTGAACACAGAAACAAAAAGAAAGAGACTGAAATAGAGAGCAAGAAAAGAAGGAATATATGTGTGTGTGTGGTGGCCAAAATTATTAGAACACTAGTATTTTCACCAGTTAAAAATGGTTTTAAGTCAGTTATTTTTATATTTTGTTGTAGTGTGTCAGTAGGAAATATCAGTTTACATTTCCAGACATTAATTTTGCCATTAATTGTAATAATCCAGTGAGATTTTTGTTTGCACAAGGAGTCGGACAACAGCCAGTGCTCCACACAGAGATCTGATCTCATCATCATCCAGTCTGTCTGGAATGACATGAAGAAACAGAAAAACTCAGATTAAATCCAGAAGAACTGTTGCAATGTCTCCAAGATGCTTCAAGAAACCTTATATTATACAATATATTTTGTCCTGAAAAGGGATGAAGACCCGGGAGCTATAACAATCAGAAGGTCGAGCTAAAGATCTAGCATAATTTTTACTGCTAAAACCACAAAATGTATTTGCTTACAGAATGGAGCAAAATCTCCAGTAGTCTTCAGTAGAGATGCACCGATTGACCCTTTTATTGCCAGCGGCCCCGGCAATGACGTCGCAGCCACAGGCACACTCACAGTCGCGTGTAAACATGTCGTTTCGCTTGAGAATGATTCTAATTTTAATTACATTCAGTGTAAACGGCGACTGATAATGTATTTATGTCGTGCCAGATGAGGCTTGCACAGCCTGAGTGAGAAAGACAGCACACACAAAGTAACTCACATAAATTTATAGATGCATACTGTGGTAATCTCCAGTAGTCTTCAGTAGAGATGCACCAATTGACCGAGCCGATCCTTTTATTGCCAGCGGCCCCGGCAATGACGTCGCAGCCACAGGCACACTCACAGTCGCGTGTAAACATGTCGTTTCGCTTGAGAATGATTCTAATTTTAATTAAATTCAGTGTAAACGGCGACTGATAATGTATTTATGTCGTGCCAGATGAGCGCAAACCCGTCGGACGCTCCTTCGTCAAATCCACCGGCCGTGCCGTTCTCAAGCCCGCCCGCCTCTGCTCACTCAAGCTTTATGGAGGACTGTTTCCTGATCCTGGTAGAGTAAACTCTACAATACCGGCTGTTCTGACTCACAGACTGCAAGTACGTTTAGAGTGTAGAGTAGCGCTTGTTGTTTGTCATTTCTCTGATCACAAATGCAGACATGGTTTTATGCTTATGTGGCGCGATGCAACGCAATGCGTAAAAAGACAGTGTAAGTCATTATAATCCGTAATTATGTCCCCACTGGATGCAACAAATGCCTCGTTTATAATGGGTTTTAATGCTTTTGTCTTGTCACTCCAGCCAGACAGGGCATCACAATATGGTAAGGGGCGTAACATTTCTGTCACACGCTTGAGGTATTCGGCCAATCACAACGCACTGGATAGCTGGCCAATCAGAGCACACCTCGCTTTTCAGACCGATGAGCTTTGTAAAAATCGCATAGAGGAGAAACGATAATGTACAGTATGTGGAAAATAATGTGTTTTTGAACCTTAAACCACATAAACACATTTCATTACACCAAATACACAAAATAAAGTTATTTTTGGCAGCATCATATGACCCCTTTAAAATGAAGTGACTTAGATTTTAGTCAAAATATTGACTGTTTTTGCTCAATTTCGCTGACGAAAATAGTTCCGATCAAAGCCACAGCAGAACTGTTGTGTGTCTCCGAGCAACACACAGCGGTGTTTCGTTCAGTGTTGCCAACTAATTTTCAGGGGAAGTTGTTAAAGGAAGGTCGATTTGTTGCTAAAAGTTGCTAATTGACATGGTGATGTCATTGCATGATGACATTATTACGTAATTATGACGCAAAATTACATCAAATCTCAGGTAACGAATATTTTTTGTGTTAATTTAGATTTGTTCATAAAATAATATAACGTAATATAATATTAAAATATAAATAACTATTTTAAATACAACATTGAATTATTGAACACATTTTTTAACAATTACAATAATTTTTTTTTATTATTAGCTAGTAAACTAGTTAAACTACACATTCTGAACAATTATAGTTTTAAGCAGTGTATTAGCAGTTAGTTAGTATAAAAATAGGGCACAATCTACTATGTTAATATGAAGGAATTTTCCGTATTGATTTTTCAAATTTTTTTTTACCTGCATTTTAAATTACGCATTGCATTTTGTGTTTTTGGGTTACAATGGATAATGAATAATGGATAACGGATAATGTCCTGGAAAATAACTAATACCTTTTTTCCATTTTTCTAGATATTTTTCTTACAGTGTAATAACTAGGGTTGCAAAATTCCGGGAATTTTCAAGACTGGAAATTTTCCATGGAAATTAATGGGAATAAACTGTAAATTTGCAAAATTGCAGGAACTGGGGACTTAAATGTAGTTGAGGAAAAAAATCTTGCAGCATAATCTTGGTTAAAACAACCAGATTTAATGCAATTTCAGTTTAATTTCTACCCTACACATTGCTCAATCACATACACAGAGCACACTGCTTACTGCAGGGCTATTGAGGCCACACTGCCTACATGCACTGTGCTTTCCTCCATAATATGAACCGATAATTTCTTAAATCCTGCACACAAAATATCAAAATGTCCATCTTGGCAAGTATTCATGTAAATTACATGAATATTACAAAAAATTATGTTTAAAACTTCCTTGTGCTGTGTGTAATATACTGTGCAACTAAATTAGGCTATACAATTGTAAAAACAAATACACTGACTGAACAAACATTTAGGTGAGATAATAATAAAAAGTCTAAAAATGACCCTCCCCCACACACAATCCCCTCTAGTCACCTAAGAGGGGGATTCCCCTCCATTTTCTCTGAAGCCACAGTTGCTGCATTTGAGGCCAAAAGAAAAGTTGCTAAATTTAGCAACAAAATTGCTAAGTTGGCAACACTGGTTTTGTTACTGAATGAATACACGTTTTTGAACGACTCGAGTGAGTCAATGATTCAGTGGCCCATTCATAAGGACAGTCACTTGCCTTGTTTCTGAATGAATAGGTTGAATAAATGAATAAATAACTCGCTCATTAAAACAGACATTTGCCGCCACCTACCGGTGGTTTAGTCATATTTAAAAGTATCATTGCATTATTTCAACTTTTATTTGTGTTTAAAAAATATGTAAAACATTCAGCTTATAAAATTATTTATGCATTTGAAATTGTTCAGTGTAAATGCATTTATGGTACCTCGGCTTCATCAAACTGTCTGTGTAAATGCATCTAATGCCACTTCATATGCAGCTTCTGTTTCCTCAGCAGTGGAAAGATAGAGTTTATTAATACTAATTTCATTTGAATGGTAACAACTCTACAGTTTCTTATTATTTATAAACATAGTGGGAAATGACATATGTTTTGTTACATACAGCAACTCATTTTAAGTTAACTATTTATTCCTCTTTCCAGTCACAGAGCACTTTATTTTGAGAGTTGTTTAAGTGAGAGAAAATCTGTAACTTAGTCCAGATTGGGGGAATTGTAATGTTTAATAATTTCTTTTATTATGTAAATACTTTTTGCATTGAAATTTGCATAGATTTTTGTTTGTATATGCTGTCAATTATATTTCTTAGAAAGAAAATCGGAATCGACAAAAATCGGTATCGGCAGGTCTCACTTCCAAAAAAATCGAAAATCGGAATCGGCCAAGAAAATTGCAATCGGTGCATCTCTAGTCTTCAGTATAGCATTTGTTACTCATAATTTATTTATATTGAGGTATTGGTATTGACGGGAAATCAGATGAGAAGCTCAAACCAATAATAATGATAATAATAATAATAAAACGTTATCCTTTACATATGTCTTCTCCTTTCCTTTTTGACATTCTGGTATCAACAGATACAATCTTATAATTGTGTTACAAAACCATGTCCAGACAGAGAAGCAAAGGGCAGCCGTTTGCTGAAGGACAGGTCAACAGACTCATTTATCGACCGGCCCCATCGCCCCAAACAAACACAGATTTGTCATTTCACCCCATGGAGCTGCAGCTACTCCATGTAATAAGAAACCCTCTACTACAGCGTAGTGGGCTTTCACCCTAGCTTCTAGCTCTATATACGGTTATGCTTAAAGTATTCTTGGCTTGAAGCGGATATAGCCTACTGTCTCTACCTTACACCAGCCTATACAATCCGTGTAATTACACCCCTTTGTGTGCTATCTAAACAGTCACTGCAGTAGACTGGGCTGTTACACTAGCTATTAGGGTTGTCAAATCGATCACGATTAATTGCATCCAAAATAAACATTTGTGTTCACATGATGTGTGTGTGTGTATATGTGTATATATGTATGTATGTATGTGTGTGTGTGTGTATATATATAATATCACATGGTCCTAAGTATTCAGACCCTTTGCTCAGTATTTAGTAGAAGCACCCTTTTGATCTAATACAGGCATGAGGTTCTAAGACTGTAGGATACTGTAGGATTTCTCTCTCTTTCTGTACATCACTACTTTATTCTTTCTTTCTTTCCAGGACATGGACTCTATGTGGTACTCCTGAGTATTTGGCTCCAGAAGTGATCCAGAGTAAAGGTCATGGTCGAGCCGTGGATTGGTGGGCTCTGGGTATTCTCATCTTTGAAATGCTTGCAGGGTAAGACGGGACTTTAATCACCTCCTGTTTACATTTTACACCAGCGATTTCAAACAGGAATCTGTGTAACTCTGGAAGTTTGTAGTTTACTTCAAGGGCTCCACAGAGATGTATAAATCAGACTTTAATACATTTATATTACATATTTTAGCAGTTTAAATGAAAATGAGCTAATGACCTGATAAGCATTGTATAATGTTATTACAAAGTTTTACCAATAATATCTATAATTGTATTATTGGGAGTGACTGGGTTGGTTGAGAGACTGAAAACCCCTGATTTACAGTAACATCAACTGAATTTCCATCTTTTAAAAATTCATCTTGTGTGTGTTTGTGAAAAAAGGGAAACTTCAAATCCTATTTTATGACAACTGTTTTCCGTGTATAATTAAATTTTAATTTCTAATGGCTATTGACCAAAACCAGTCATGAAGAAAAATAACACTTGCTATTTCACCCTGTATGGCTCAAGATTGTATTTGTATTGGCCTGTGGTCAGGAAAGATCAGCTGTTGTCAAAGATACACCTCTAGAGGGCAGCAGTAGAATATGAGACACTGAGTTCTGCCAAAGGCCCAAACTTCCATGTGCATGTCTCAAAACATATGGCTTCTTTTAGTGCTGCCTTAATATTCATCCTTATTATGATATTTATCTTTATTTGCCTAGACGTATATTCTGTTTAGTGTGCACAAACTGGCATCTTTAATATGCACAAAGATAATCTGCTCACATTTACAGTATCTCAGGGGGCAGATGCGTTTCTTGGAATAGATCTTGTTTACAAAAAGATTACATCCAGATTAAACTGTTATTACCAACACATGTGGGCATAAATGTGTGACCGAACAGCATGCAAAATTTGTAGATACATTTTGGACAAATTATACATGATATTTTTATTTCTAGATCAGACACTTTCGGCATAATATCTGTCTTGCACAAGTAAATGTTTTCATATTGTCACATGGACTACAAATCCAGTGTGAAAATAAGCTTCTTCCCTCCTGGTATAATTTTGGATGCTGTAGTGTATTCCATCCAAACTGCTTCGAAATCTGCCCTAGAGCTTTCACAGGCTCTTGTGTGGAGGAAAATCTGACCCACCCTCTGCATTCATCCCAGACTTCTATTGAAGTGTTGGCTTCTGCATGTGAGTGAGAGAAAATTACCTTTTTTCAAGAGACAGACACACAGACATGGGCTCAGCTTGCCCAGACATGCAAAAGCTCCCTTCAGTCATCTCTGGGACCGTGGGTGTGCTTGTCCATGTATGTCAGAGGTCATTTGAGACTCCTTTGCGGGAAATGTAGCAAGAGATGAAATGGCTCCTCCAGGACTTGTTGGTGCTATTCTATTTCAGACCTGACTATGTGTAGGTACAAAATGTCAAAAACTTGTTTTATAATTGCACTCAAAAGACAAAATGGTTCACAAACAGAGTAAAAAAAAGAAATGTGTTGTAGATTGAGATATGGTCAGACGCTTCACGTGTCTGGGGTGTGTGTGAGAGAGAGAGGTTGCATTTATGCATACTTGAGATAAACTTGCACTCAGATCATAAGGGGGTCCATAGGAAATGACACACTCTGCTTCCTCTGAGAGTTCAAGAGAAAACTCTAGACTTACTCCATGCTTTCTAGAGAGATCACCTCCTTGATTAGCTTCAGAGTTCATGTAAATTTGATGTACATTTATTCCATTGGTTTTAATGTAAATGGCAACTCCGTAAAATAGGTTTTGCTTTTTTTATAAAAAATTTGCTTATAACAAAAGTTTTTTTTTTTTTCTTAATTACAAAATATCTTACCGAATATATCACTTAAATGATGACCGGAGTAGTTTAATTACAAAAACCTATTGTTTTAACAAGGTTGTTATATATAATATAACATATATACAGTATATATATAATATATATAATACACAATTACTCATCATTCTTACATTTACATTTTTGGTAACACTTTAGAATAGGGAACACTAATTCACTTTTAACTACGACTTTTCCCTCAATAAACTCCTAATTTGCTGCTTATTAATAGTCTATAAGGTAGTTGTTAGGTTTAGGTATGGGGTCGGATTAAGGGATCTAGAATAAAGTCGTGCAGAATAAGGCATTAATATGTGCTTTATAAGTACTAATAAACAGCCAATATGCTAGTAATATGCATGCTAATAAGCAATTAGTTAATAGCAGGAATAGGTCCTTAAAATACCACATTTTTAAAACATGTCTTTGTACATCCACCCAGGTACTACAACAGGCAATAAGTACATTTACCAAAAGCAGAGTTCAAAAACAGCTGTATGGAGTATAACAGAATGGAACAGAATGCAAGGATCTCAAGACACACTTTTCAAAGTGTCATAAAAATACTACAGAGCAAGACACAATGCATAAATAAATGTTAGTCTGCATGTGTACATATTAGCAGTTTAAAAATATCCGAGATAGAACTCGATAATGCAACCTGTGTTATCGGACAGATTGACTGATTGAAATGTAGGCAACTAGTAGACTTGTTCAAACATAAAGAAATAAACAACATATTGATATTCTAAACATATTGAACATATTCTAAAGCCACTTGTGTCTATTTAAATGTCTATTTAAAGATTTACTTGTCTGCCACAATTTATTTTCTTAGCAAATATCAATAAATTGATTGATAATTGATTGACTACTATAAATTACTTTTGATTAATTAACCAGCAAATCGTGTCATCCGTGTAATTTGATTTCAACTTTGTTAATCCATTTGCAGTGTTAGTTATAATGCAATAGTTACTTCAAGAGTTCAAGAGCACACTTTTAAAAGTTTCTTGGTTTTTGGTATTTTTTATTATTATCTTTTTCTCAGTGGAATCTTGGCAACACCTGTGCTGTTATGTAAAAGTTTCAGTTTCATAATTCTCCTTTTTTCCCCTGTCACCAGCCACTGCTTACAGTAACACTGTAGAGACTAATATGTCTCTTCTGCTTTCTTTCTCCTTCTCTCCATCTCTCTTTTCCATCACCCACAAGAAGGAGTAGCTGCACGTTCTCCTCTCCTGGCTTCTCTCTCTCGGTTTATGGTTTCCACATTCAGTCAGTACTGTCAGTCCTGGTCAATCCATTATGTGGAACCACCTTATTTTACTTCTTTCAGAAAGCCACAGCTAGAGGTCTTTAATAGGATAGAAAATCCTGTCATCATTTACTCACCCTAATGTCATTCCAAACCTGTATGACTTTCTTTCTTCAGTCAAACACAAAAGTAGATGTTTATGGTCTTCTTTTCCACTCAAGGGAAGTATATGGTGGCCAGGCACTCTCAGGCATCAAAAAAAAAAAGTATTACAGTAATGTATATGACTGAAACAGGGCTCATATTTGTGAATAATTAATTGTCCAAGTTTGATCTAGAATAAAGCTAAGTATTAAAGGAGACATATTATGCCCCTTTTTACAATATGTAATATAAGTCTCTGGTGTCCCCAGAATGTGTCTGTGAAATTTCAACTCAAAATACTCCATAGATTATTATTATATCATTTTGAAAATGCCCATTTTGAGTGGAAGCAGAAACACACTGTTTTTCGTGCCTGTCTCTTTAAATGCAAGGGATGGTAATATTATAATGAGATCCCTTTGCCACGTCACCAAGGGAGCGAAATCAGATGCGCTTGTTTTCTCAGACGCTTGCAGAAAAAGGCTTACCAAAATAATGTTACTGGGTTAATCTGTTCCACGTTTCCTTGGTTGGTAGATGCACCGGGGACCTGATTATAGCATTTAAAACCTGGAAAAGTCAGATTTTCATGATATGTCACCTTAAGTCTCTGGTGTCCCCAGAATGTGTCTGTGAAATTTCAACTCAAAATACTCCATAGATTATTATTATATCATTTTGAAAATGCCCATTTTGAGTGGAAGCAGAAACACACTGTTTTTCGTGCCTGTCTCTTTAAATGCAAGGGATGGTAATATTATAATGAGATCCCTTTGCCACGTCACCAAGGGAGCGAAATCAGATGCGCTTGTTTTCTCAGACGCTTGCAGAAAAAGGCTTACCAAAATAATGTTACTGGGTTAATCTGTTCCACGTTTCCTTGGTTGGTAGATGCACCGGGGACCTGATTATAGCATTTAAAACCTGGAAAAGTCAGATTTTCATGATATGTCACCTTTAAATCTAAAAGGAATAGTTCACCCAAAAATGAAAATTTGCAGAAATTGTACTTCCCTCGGACCATCCAAGATGTAGATGAGCTTGTTTCATCATCAGAACAGATTTGAAGAAATAATTTGGAGGGAGAGAGAGAGAGAGAGAGAGAAAAAAAAAAAGCATTACATCACTTGCTCACCAATAGATTCCCGCCAATGATTGGGTGGCGTCAGAATGAGAGTCCAGACAGCTGATAAAAACATTACAATAATCCACAAGTAATCCACAGTCCATCAATTAACATCTTGTGAAGTGAAAAGTTGCATGTATGTAAGAAACAACCATTACTGTATAGTAACTCTAAAATATGAGTCCTCTATCCGTAATATTGCTTTCTCTAGTGAAAAAAGGAGAGAAATGTACACAGATCAAGCACCATTTACGAGTGAAAACAGTCCAAATCAGTTATGAACAAATATGTTGGTGGATTTTGGTGTGAAAGAATTGTTATGGATTATGGGCTCATATTTTAGCCAGAAGCAACGGTTTAAAGTTAAAATGCCCTAATTATATATTTGTTTATTGTAAACGCATAGCTTTTTGCTTCACAAGATGGACTGATGGACTGGAGACATGTGGATTACTTGTGGATTATTTTGATGTTTTAATCAGCTGTTTGGACTCTCATTCTGACGGCACCCATTCAGTGCAGAGGATCCACTGGTGAGCAAGTGATGTAATGCTACATTTCATCAAATCAGTTCCCATGAAGAAACAAACTTATCTACATCTTAGATGGCCTGAGGGTGAGTACATTTTGAGCAAATTTAAATTTTTGGGTGAACTATTGCTTTAAATATGTTTTTGCGGTCATTCTGGGTAATACTCTTTTAAGCCGTCACACATTTGTCCTCCCCGTTGTGCAACTCTGCGGTAATGGCTTGTTCAGGGTCTTTCACTCTATATTTTGCTGCTGATTTATGTCTCATCGTCTCATCTTCACTGTTGACACTTGAGTTCCATCATTGTCAGTGATCTGCGCCCTCATGTGATTTCAGGTGGTCGCCTAGTAACAGGCTCATTAGCATCTCTCACCTTATTTATCCCTCATATGCAGCGACTCTTTTCAGTGGCAGCTAGATGCAGGCATTAAAAAAGCTCATTGAGAGTGCAAGGGTGTTTGATGGCATGTTGGTCGAGGCTGGAAGTCTAATGGAGGAGTAATGGATTACACCGTATGAGCTGAAGAATCGCTCTACCAGACATTAGAGAACACACATCAGATGGACAAAAAGGGGGGTAGGAACAACATTATACTGAGACACAGTAAACACTAGTCATTTAGAGGCCTAAATGACACCTTCCACCCTTGCAGTCCTCCTCCAGTGGTGCAGACCCGGGATGCGTCTGTGAAATTCACACCTAAAAGTGATGCTAAATACAAAAGAAAAAAAGCAATCTGTTGTTATTGAATTATTCAAACTTATCTACATCTTAGATGGCCTGAGGGTGAGTACATTTTGAGCAAATTTAAATTTTTGGGTGAACTATTGCTTTAAATATGTTTTTGCGGTCATTCTGGGTAATACTCTTTTAAGCCGTCACACATTTGTCCTCCCCGTTGTGCAACTCTGCGGTAATGGCTTGTTCAGGGTCTTTCACTCTATATTTTGCTGCTGATTTATGTCTCATCGTCTCATCTTCACTGTTGACACTTGAGTTCCATCATTGTCAGTGATCTGCGCCCTCATGTGATTTCAGGTGGTCGCCTAGTAACAGGCTCATTAGCATCTCTCACCTTATTTATCCCTCATATGCAGCGACTCTTTTCAGTGGCAGCTAGATGCAGGCATTAAAAAAGCTCATTGAGAGTGCAAGGGTGTTTGATGGCATGTTGGTCGAGGCTGGAAGTCTAATGGAGGAGTAATGGATTACACAGTATGAGCTGAAGAATCGCTCTACCAGACATTAGAGAACACACATCAGATGGACAAAAAAGGGGGGTAGGAACAACATTATACTGAGACACAGTAAACACTAGTCATTTAGAGGCCTAAATGACACCTTCCACCCTTGCAGTCCTCCTCCAGTGGTGCAGACCTGGGATGCGTCTGTGAAATTCACACCTAAAAGTGATGCTAAATACAAAAGAAAAAAAGCAATCTGTTGTTATTGAATTATTCTGAGTCTGTATTAAATTTGCAGTCATATTGAATCGAATATTGGCTTTTTTATGCCATCTAATTGATTTTTGATGTCTTAAGTCACAGTTGTGTTTGTCTGCGTCTGTGTCTATAGCTTCCAGTTCTGGTCTGGATATGAATCATTGCAGAGGTTTTTATAGGACTAAACTGACAGGACTAAGGACTAAGCCAAAGATAAAGTCCTGTGTATTAGTTTTTGGCATTTCAGCAGATCTTTATTGAAATCCGCTAAACTGTCAATAAGACGGATTACGCTAGTATATATCTTTAAGACTTTTCCTGCTCTGTGTCATTTTGACACATTAATTGTTTTTTTTCCTCTCTATCTAAGGTATCCTCCATTTTTTGATGATAATCCCTTTGGCATCTACCAGAAGATCTTGGCCGGAAAGCTGGAGTTTCCGCGGCATCTGGATTTCTATGTAAAGTGAGTTTGATAAAGAAAGCACAACTGAATGACACGTGCCATATTTATAGCATACATAAAACACAAAGTCTATTGAAATCATGTTAGCATCAGCATGAAATATTGTTTGATCTCAGACTTAAATTTATGTGTGTGGGGGAAAGCGCAAGTCTTTTTATTGCTAACTAAAAGTAATAAAAGTAGTTGTTGTTTTTTTTGTAATTGAAATCTGAAAAAAAAGATTCAGGTTTTATATTTAGATTTTAAAAATATAAGGTGAAAAACGATATAGCTATAAAGCTTTAAAAGATTATATGAAGGTTAGAAATGTTGCCTTCACAACTTACTGAAATAAAATAAGTTGAAGTACTAAAATTGCTCAAATTGAAATAAAAATAAAGCTGAATTGAAATATTTAAGAAGATCTAATAAAAACAACAAAAGCATATAACGCTTACTAAAACTAACAGAAAATATAACAGTAAAAGTCCATTCAAATTATTAATAAATACTATTGTGTTATGTATATAATGCTAAAATAACACTGGTAAAAACAAAAATACATAAGTTTAGGCTATTTTTTTTTTTTATCGTTTCTATCATCCCTCCTGCAAAAAAATATATTAAAGCTGCAGTCCGTAACGTTTTTTGGTTAAAAATGATCCACAATCAATTTTTGAGCAAGCACATAATCAGCCAGTGTACAAAACTCCTTATTTTAGCCTGATTCACATCGGTAAGCTTGTAATAATATTTTATAATTTGAGTGGTACTGGTAGGTTTTTGTGGGAAATACGAGCATGGCGCTGCGTCATTAGGTCACGTCTGTACACATAAAGAAGCAGTCCCGGCCAGTAGGCTATATCGCGTGTGTGGATGCTGCAGCTGGCGGATCATGTATAGCCTTTTCTTACAGCGGCTGGAATAATTAAACATGTCATTTTAGAACGAGTTCTAAGGAACATTAAATTGCTTTTTGAGGTTAAAAGAACAATTTCTTTTGATGACATTGGAATGGTATGGAACTCATCTACATCTTAGATGGCCTGAGGGTGAGTACATTTTGAGCAAATTTAAATTTTTGGGTGAACTATTGCTTTAAATATGTTTTTGCGGTCATTCTGGGTAATACTCTTTTAAGCCGTCACACATTTGTTCTCCCCGTTGTGCAACTCTGCGGTAATGGCTTGTTCAGGGTCTTTCACTCTATATTTTGCTGCTGATTTATGTCTCATCGTCTCATCTTCACTGTTGACACTTGAGTTCCATCATTGTCAGTGATCTGCGCCCTCATGTGATTAGTTCTAAGGAACATTAAATTGCTTTTTGAGGTTAAAAGAACAATTTCTTTTGATGACATTGGAATGGTATGACAATTAGAGATTGGACTGTACAGAAATTGAAATCTACAGATAGCGTCAATACACACTATATACACACAGTCACGCAGTGTTGATGTTGTTAACCTTAACAATTTGAGAACAAAGTGTAATAATAATTTGCATGGTTTGACATGAGTGAAATGATCGTTAGATTTAATCACCATTGGTAGCGCGATTTGTTGTAAAACTTTTTTTTTTTTTTCTTCACTTAATCGGAAACAAAACTGGCAGACATGTTACTTACTTTTCAAGATAACATTTTCGGGTGAAAGGTCTTAATTTGGACATACTTCCAAGACATAGAATCTGTAATTCTGCGATACAGTGAATATCCACACTAGTGCGTTGACTGAGGCCCACATGTACTCCTCAAAACATTAGATTCAGCCGCGCTGAGGAGCCGTGCCGATGCACAACCCACGTAATGAAAATCATTCCGCAAATAACTGCAATTGCAGGTTTCAAACCGAGATTGCGACAAAGAGGCTAAACTTACGGACTGCAGCTTTAAATATACTGAAGTACAGTATATGCCTCTGAATATCATTAATGACTAGTTTAATGACTTTGCAACAAAAGCATCTTAATACAGTAAAAGCATTTGTTAATATGGCACTCTATATGTTATTATAGACAATTATTGTATCTACATTTTTATTTTCAGTAATAACAGGGTGTGCTGCATAACCAGAAAGTGGTCTTTGACATGGAAATGCAGTTACATGTGCACACAGTTACAAACTCGTGTCCTCTAATGAACTCATCTAAACACGTCAGCTAAGCACACCAACGGCTGTAGGAGTGGAGGCATCCTCCAGATTACAGACAGATACTATTACTCATGGTGCTTTTGAACTTAAGGAGCTCAGGATTCTGCAAATGACCCACTGTCCTGTCTTGATGTTCAAAACCGTAATCCTTTAATTCACACCTCTCAATAATACAGAACAGTATCCTCTCTTAGTTGTAACATCTAAGAAGGCATTGCAGCTGTACAAACGCATACACAAATTGACATCACAGCTTCATTTCATAATAAGTCTTTTGTCCACTAGGGGCTAAACTGGTGTTCACTGCTTCAAACGGACTGCACTCCAGAGACAAAAACAGCTTGGGGAAGCTCTCGGAAATAGAGACAGACAGTCACCTCAGGCAAAGCAAATGCCCGTTTCCTTTCGACTGGCATGTTTACTCTAGTTACAATTATGAAAGTAGCCAAAACTATGACTTATGTCAGTAGGGATTTAACAAGCTTGATAAGATAATGGTGTCCTGAAGTCAAACACACATGATCATTGGAGAATGAATAACATCTGCAAGGGAGGTGAGAATGAGTGGTAAGGTCATCTGTATCGTGATCGCTCCAAGCGTCTCTCATGTTAGGTTGAGTGAGAACATCAACGGCACAGCAGTACACATGCTAATGCACTCGTGTTCGCAGCTTGAAGTCTGTTGGGTCATAGATACAGATTGATTTTAAACCTAATAAGGGCTACGTGAAAAGCTTAATGCAGGTAGATTTTTATGTGTGAATATTTTTTTATGTTAATAAGCTGCACTATGAATAATCTTTTTAAGAGAGTAATTATACTTTGTCAATAGTTATTACTACAGGCCTTTGTCATAAAATATTGGTATGTGCAATTTAACAGCATGTTGCCTCTAAAGTATTATTAACTATATGTTAACTCTAATGTTAGTTAACAATTAGTTAACATTTACTAATACATTATTAAAGTTGTATCTTTTAGTATTATCGGTAACACTTTATGTTAAGCTTCCATTAGTTAATGTTAGTTAATGTATTAAGAGGCGGACAGTGTTGTGACAGTGGAGTGTTTTTCTTTAGAAAACTAGTTAAACTTTAGACAACATTCCAAAGCATAATATTGTACTTTTTTACTGCACTACATTTCATATTAAATATAATTTAATATTTAATTACATTAGAAATCTATTACTGTCTTACTTTTACTCAAGTAAAAGTAATTCAAAGATTTACTTGAGTACAAGAAAGTACTACATTTTTTATGTTCTTATGTATTAAAGGTAAAACGAACAACAACTTTTATTTATGAAATGAAGTGCAGTAAAAAGTATGACATTATGCTTTGGAATGTAGTGAAGTAAAGTTTTCCAAAGAAAATCACTCTGATAAACTACAGATACTTTTTTAATTTACTTGAGTAAAGTAAAAATGCTTCACTACTGTCCGCCTCTGTAACTAATATGAACAAACAATGAACAATACATTTATTACAGTATTTATTAATCTTTGTTAATGTTAGTTCATGAAAATAGTTCATAGTTAGTTCATGTTAATTCACAGTGCATTAACTAATGTTAACAAGCACAAGGTTTTGATTGTAATAATGCATTAGTAAATGTTGAAATTAACATGAACTAAGATTAATAAATGCTGTAGAAGTGTTGTTCATGCTTAGTTCATGTAAACTAACGTAGTTAACTAATGTTAGCTAATGAACCTTATTGTAAAGTGTATTATTTAATGAACCCAACCTAACATGGACTAAATATAAACAGTTGTTATAATCGTGTGGTTGTTATGGTATTTGGTTCTATAAATATATTTCCACATATTTTTCCACATAGTTATCTAGCTCAAAATTAAATGGATAATATGAAGATTTAACGTTTTTCCCTTTAAAGTTTATTTCTTGAAAAGAAGTACAGCACACTATACGTTACTTTTGCAAATTAATATTTATGTACCGGTATTAACTGTATTCACTCTTATTACTTTTACAGGACTTGTTTTAAAGTATTAAAATAGTATGCTTATTTTATAAAGCAGATTTCAGATTGTGTAGATTTATAACGCTGTGATGCCTAAATTCACTTGTAGCATAATAAAATAAATTAATTAAAAATTAAAATTAAAATAAATTTTTAAACAAAGCAGTACAGATTTTTAATATCAGCCATTTATTGATTATTAATCATAACATTACAATAGTTATTGATTTATTTGAATAAGCCAGAATTGCATTATTGGTGTGTCCCTACTCTTAATGTCTGCCTTCATGAAATTAAGCGTCTTAATTTTCTTGTGTTTATTAAACTAATTTAAAGTCTAAGTCTAAATCAGGTGCTTTTTAGCGAAGTAGTTCTCATCTTGTTTTTATTTATCTAGGGACCTAATCAAGAAGTTTCTGGTGATTGATCGGGCAAGAAGGCTTGGAAACATGAAGGTAAGCAGGATTGTGGTGACAGATATTTTATGTGGTTCTTGTATGCTGAGCAAAGTAATTCAACAGGAATCAGCATCTGGGATATTTCCTTTGAGAACGCTGTATTGATAATATGCTTTTTGTCCATATGGACTCTTTATAGTCATCTTAAATTCAAGGCCAGGTTGAAAATCTATGAACAATCTAACATAATAAACTCTGTTTCTAGGCCAGTTTGCATCTTAATAAAGCTGCACGTGGCAAATAATAAGACCTTGATTGAGTCCTGCGAGATCTTTCTCCCAAAGGCCACAGTTGGCCACATATGTTTCCAGTTATGATAAGAAAGCTTCCTATCTGCCCAGAGGGGATGAGATGAGGCTCTGGAGAAACTCCCTGGAGTGATTCTGACACCGGGCAACTCTCCCACTGTACCTCCTTCCAACCCCCATCAGACGAGGTGGATAATGGGGAAAGAACTCCAGACAGAGTCCTTGTGCGAAATGTTTCTGCATCTCTAGCTATAGTAATTCACAGTTACGGTTTAATGGCAGTTACTTTTCTGAATTGTTCTTTCAGAGGAAATAATTCAGTAACTGGCACCAGATGAGGTGGCAGCAGTGCGCCAGGCCTGTCATGTGTAATGTGATGCATATTGTGTCGGTGATGTCATGGGAAGTTTGTGAATGGTTCGTCATTTTCCCGTTAATGCTGTAATTAGAATTCTCCACACGTGAGGAATGAGCTCTGCTGAAATATATATCTCGCTGTTTGTTTGGGGTTTTCTTCAAATTTCCTTTTTGTCATCAAAGCAGATCCAGAGTAAGAGATAAATAAGGAAAACCTTGAAATGTCACTTTTGGTGCACTTCCAAGGCTAGATGTTTCTGTTTTTAATTTAGCACTTTTGTTCTTTTGCTTTTTCTCCTCTGACTAAATGCAATGAGAGTTTAAGACCCGGCAGCCCAGTCACAGCTGTGTTTGCACTGTTTCCACAGCAAGGCCAGGTCCTGCTGGCAGCACTCATTCACAAGTGCTGATATCTGTTATTCCACTTGAGTGAATGTGTATCTGGCATGGTCCCACAGAGCAATGCATGGCCCAGATTCTGAGGTTTCTAGAAGACTTCAGTAGGTTAGCATTGTTGCCCCACTTTTCTTTTCCCTCTCTAAGAAACTAAAAAGACAGTACAGTGGTTGAAAAGACTGTTTGGGGTCAAATAAGATGTGTCTTACAAGATTAAGTCTAAAAGCGTTAATAGACTTTTTAGGTTTGTATGCTTACAGTTTTAACTGTGGTGGTTTGTGTAAGTGTAAGACATTATTCTACTTTAAAGGGTTAGTTCACCCAAAAATGAAAATTCTGTCATTAATTACTCACCCTCATGTCGTTTCAAACCCGTTAGACCCTTCGTTCATCTTCGGAACACAAATTAAGATATTTTTGATGGAATCTGAGAGCTGTCTGAGCCTGCATAGACAGCGATACAACTGAAATGTTCCCAAGTCCAGAGACGTAGCAAGGAGATCGGTAAAATAAGCCATGCGTCATCAGGGGTTCAGCCGTAATTTTACAAAGCTACGAGAATACTTTTTGTGCGCGAAAGAAAAAAAAAACGACTTTATTCAACAATTCGTCTCCTCCGCATCACCCTGGTGCCATTTTGGAGAATATCCGCTGGACGTAAACGGCGTATGCTGTTCTGTGTCAGCTGCGTCACACGGATACGCTGTTTTCGTTCAGATCAAATCACAACAACGTAGGAAACAGATACAGTGTGACGTAGCTGACACAGAACAGCATACGCCATTTACGTTCAGTGGATATTCTCCAAAATGGCGCTACAGGGTGATGCGGAGGAGACGAATTTTTGAAGTCGTTTTGTTTTTTTGTGCACAATAAGTATTCTCATAGCTTCGTAAAATTATGGTTGAACCCCTGATGACACATGGATTATTTTACCGATCTCCTTGCTACGTCTCTGGACTTGGGAACATTTCAGTTGCGTTGCTGTCTATGCAGGGTCAGACAGCTCTCAGATTCCATCAACAATATCTTAATTTGTGTTCTGAAGATGAACGAAGGTCTTACGGGTTTGAAACGACACGAGGGTGAGTAATTAATGACAGAATTTTCATTTTTGGGCGAACTAACCCTTTAATGTTCGTTTAGTTACAGTAACCTATCATAATCTTGTGTATTATTTTTGTCTTCTTCCAGAATGGAGCTGATGATGTGAAGAAGCACAGATGGTTTAAGTCAGTAGACTGGGATTCTGTGCCCTGTAGAAAACTCAAGGTAAAAGCACCACCGCTCCTTCGTATAGAGCTTTAGAATATGTCCTGTTATTAAAGATTTACACCACTATTAATTTTTGTAAGATTTCCAAGTCATTACTGGCCACATAACAGTGCCAACGCCTCATTAAAAAGTGGTCCTCTTTTACTTCATTTAATGTTAGAATTATATAGCCAGAATATTTCCCATGGTTTACCGGACATATTGCAGTTTCCCAGAAATACTTGGTAGTGCATAGTGGAAAGTGTACACGGCCATTCAGTTTGGGCTCGGTCGATTAAAAACATAGTTAAAACACACTAGCATTGTGAAATAATATTATATAATAGCTGTTTGTTGTATTAATATTACAATAGTTATTTAATATAATAAAATATTAATTGAATTACTTAATTTATTCCTGTGATGGCAAAGCTGAATTTTCAGCAGCTATTACTCCAGTCACATGATCCTTCCGAAATCCTTCTAATATGCTAATTTCTTATTATTATAAATGTTGAGGGGAAAAAAACAGTAATACATTTGGAAACTACAATACATTTTTTTTAAGTTAAAATTTTTTTATGAATGCTGTCACTTTTGATGAGTTTAATGATTAAAATGAGTCATTTCTTTTCCGACCGCAAACTTTTGAACAGTAGTGTGTATTTCAGTGTATCTAAAGCCTCTTCAATGACTTTCTCTCATTGCTGTGACAGCCACCCATAGTTCCCAAGGTGTCTCACGAGGGTGACACGTCTAACTTTGACACCTATCCAGAGGATGAGTGGAAGAAGGACACACCAGTGCCAGCTAAGGATTTGGAAATTTTCAAGGACTTCTGAAAGGATATTCTTTTGAATGAATAAAAAGACAGGACTGATGGAAGATAATGATTTAGCTGAAGTTTTAGCCTAACCATTCAGGAGACATTAAAAGGTCATAGTTGCATTATTATTATAGACATGTCTTGCCTGCTTGTTCCCGAGTCCTGCACACTTGAGAAACGGAAACAGACTTCTTCTGATCCTCATTAATGTGATCATAATCATAGTCAAACGTTTACCAAGGAAACAGTTCATCACTTCAACCTCTTGTATGATGAGCAACTTGATTCAACACCCTCTGAGTCTCTTATATTATGCAAAAGGAATGTTTTTAAATATCATTTCAAATAAGCAATATCAAGGTTCTTTAAGCTGGATCAAGACAATGTCTTTGCTTATGCCTAAACGTGTATGGTCATGGTTTTGTTTTGACTTTATACCTTAACAAACTTGCTGAATTAGAGCTTTAAGCCTGACAAATTTTATTTCTGGTTATCTGTACTTGCTGTGTTGATCCATTCCTCCCACATGGTATTTCTATGTAAATTTTGTAACATTAGGGCTGTTTCACACTGCACTAGCTGTGACAATGTGCTTTTATACTGGCAGCATTTCTCCTGCGTAACAAACCTGCCAGTCTATACAAAAAAAAAGAATAATAATAAAACAAATAATGCACACTATTAATACAAATTAACATTAATTACCAAAATAAATAATGGCAATTAATCTTAAAATGGTCATTCATATTTGAGACTACAAAAATGTATACTCTGAAATGTAATTTACATGTAGCTGTAGGCCATATTTACATCCAAAAAGTCATTCATCTAAACCAGAACCCAAACTCTAAACTGTATCGATAAATTGTCACTTGGATTCAGTCATAATTACTAAACAGAAAGTGCTGCTTGTGTGTGTGTGTGTGTGTGTGTGTGTGTGTGTGTGTGTGTGTATGTATGTGTATGTGTGCGTGCGTGCGTGCGTGCGTGTATGTGTGTCTGTGTTTTTTCCAGATCGCAGGTAAATAATAACCTCCCGTATTTTATTTGATTACTGTAACCTGTTGATATTGTATGTAAGCCCATTTCTGTCACAAGAAAAAAAATGCTTTGGTAAATCAATTATTACATACAAAGTCATAATTATGAGGGGAAAATGCTAATTATGGCAAAAAAATAGAATTATGAGAAGTCGTTACGTTTTTTTGTCATAATAATTAATGTGACGTAATTATGTATCTCAGTTTTTAGTTTGATGAGGTACAAAGTTATAATTTGACATAAGTCAAAATTATGAAATCATTTGATTTATCATAGTGTAAAGTTTTTAGTTATTATTACTTAAAAGTCAAAATCATGACTTATAAGTGATTATAATTTAAAACAGATTAAAAAGTCATGCCTCTCAATTTAAACTTGTTTCATATGACAATTTATCTCATTATATGAGATTTTGGACTTTTTGTCATTTAAATGTTTTGTCATTTGTATTTTTATATAAATTTCTGCTTTTATGTCATAATTATGACTCATAATTTTGGCTTATCAAATTGACTTTTTATCTCATAATTTCGACTTTCTGTTGTAATTTTATTTATAAAAAAAAAAAAAAATGTTTTATTTCAGAATTATGACTTCCGTAAGTTGTAAGTAATAATTTTGACGTTTTATTTCATAATTTTGTTTTCCAAAGCATTATTTTTATATTTATGTAGTGGAAATGGGCTTTGATAGATAAGGGCACCAAAATAAATGCACACAGGATTCGTCTGCAGTGTGAAACAGAATGTGTTGTTGTGTTCTACTGTGCTGCTTTTAATTCTTTTTTTCTATGTAAACGTGCACTATAGATGTGTTTGATAATTGTGCTGCATCTCACTTATTTATTTTTGTTCATGAGCACCACATTTTTAAGGCAAGTTAAATAAGTTAAAAAATAAGTACAACTTGAACCCTGCCTTCTCTTACATTCATCAGTGTTGCGGCTCTGCAGTTATATATTATTGTGCAGCATCTCGAGTTGACCACAAAAGCATGGTTTGTGTGAATGGCCCCAAGAATCCAAAGAGCTTTTGAACACATTCCTGCCAAGATGTCAGTCTAAGAATACCAGATGAAGTAGTGGTACAGTAGCACTTACCTAATCAAACATGACCTCACAAACCTGTAGGTAACTAATAAATTAGCATTAATGCTTGTATTATGAGATGCCTGTTCAAATAATTTGGTTGTTGTGCTTTATGGTGTTCTATATGTGTTTACTAATCAGTTAAGCGCATAAACAATTTACTAGCCAGGTGTTTTCTAATTGTGTTTTCAGGGGGTGAATTTAGCAAAACACAGTTTACATTGCTTTGGAATGCTACTTAATATATGTTTGGCATTTAAATGCCTTGAATAATGGGAAGAGAACTATGGTGTGAAATGATTTAGAAAAATAGCTAATGTGTGTATGTTCAAAACAACTCTTCTGTTTCTGGACTTCCATAGTTTTTCTTAACTGCTTTTGTCTGAAGCAGTAATCTATCATTGTAAAGTCTACTGAATATCATTTATTTGATATCATCTCTTAAAATGACTGTTCTTTTTAAATTGCAAATGCAGTTTTATACTAAGGAAACAAACATGCAGATTTCACATTGACTTGACAGCTGTTACCATCTTTTTTGGGGGGGTTGTTTATTGTTTCCTGTGTGAATAATTTTTGCTGTAATCTCAATTTTTTTGTGTGTTCATTTTTACACTTGTTTGAGAAAAAAAGGTATTTTATATTGTTTGCAACAGCAAAAACTCAAATGAAGTTCTATGAACTGAAAAATTTTAGGATTTTATACTGGTTTTTAATCACTTTTTTTTCTTTCTTTTTTTTTTAAGTTTATCGGTACTATCATTTCATTGCCTTCTGAACATTTATGATGTATTTTAGATGGTACAAGTGCAATGTTACCTGCAACCAAGGTGTTATAAAAATTTGACAAAAATCTGCAAATTCTATGTCCATGAAAATAAACTGAACTTTTCATGTGGGCAAAACTATTTGACTAATAGACCTCATGCCTGTTATAACATTTCAGTATACTCTGACCAAACTTGTTGAAGTCTCATTAAGATGAGTTGGACTGTTGGCGCCAAGCCATACGCTCATTCACACCAGCCTCAGGAACCTTTTGAACTACAAGCTTAGTGGAAATTATTAGACCATTTACTGTAAGAGTCTTAATATACTCTTGTTTTCCTATATACCCACGATTAAGTGCTTGCCACAGTTTCATATGCTAGTATTTCTCTCAGTCCCTTTATAGTTTATTTTCCTTAAGCATTAATGTAAAATGTATATTAAATGTATGTTAGTAGTTAACTGAACAAATTAGCATCACTCCTTCGCAGCAAAAGCAGATGAATGATCTCATCCATTAAGGTGCCTTGAGACTATTGCATTTTTAAGAGGTTATTTCAACTAACTTTCTTCACTCTGCTCCTTGTGAAATCTGACTAGAGTTTAAACATTTTAATGACGTTTAGTCCTGTCAGACACACCACTGGGACAGGCCAATTTGCTTAATAGTTCCCTTACGGTCTTCTAAATGCCTGTACGAAGGATCTGTCCCCAACTTGATAGGAAATGGTTTTAATATATGGTATATGTACCCGCCGAACTTTGGCAGTTCTGCGTATTATATTTCCATTTGTGACAGGAAAGCAGAAACACACTTTACTCTTAGGATGTAAATGACATCTCCATTTAACAATGAGATTATTCATCTTTGTGTGCGCTCATCTGTTTATGTTTGGGTTGCTCAAATCCAACAGATTTTTGATACATCACCATTTTAATAATGTTTTCTGAAGCTGCGATGTGATAAGTTGCAGCTGCTGTTTTAATTATTGGTACTGTCAATGCAGCTCTTATCGATTACACTTTTTGGCTGAGTCAGTGGAGCTGAATGAAGTTCTTTAAAGGGGTCATATGATGTGATTTCAATTTTTCCTTTCTCTTTGGAGTGTTACAAGCACTTGGTGCATAAAGAAGATCTGTACTGTAAAGTTGCAAAGACTAAAGTCTCAAATCCAAAGAGATATTCTTTATAAAAGTTAAGAGTCAACCATGCCTACCTAAAACAGCTCGTTCTAACACGCCCCCACATGTCTACGTCACTATGTGGGAAGATTTGCATAATGCCGCCCAAATGTTCATGCAAAGAAAGAAGGCGTAACTTTTATTCTCGCTGTAGCCATGTTGTGAAGGCACTGTGTGATTCGTTGTGAAAGCGAAACTACTTTGTTTGGCTTTCCAAAAGAGGACGATATGCTGGTTGCTGAGGAAATACTACAACATTGCGCAGTGGATCGCCGGATCGGCTTTCACCGTGGACGAAGCGGAGTCCAGCCCGGGGTCGTCACATGTGGTTGCCGCAAGCCCGCCCGCTGCGTCGTTCTTAAGCCCACCGGCCGCCGCTAACTCTAGGCCACCGTGTGTGACGCTGTGTTTCGTTGTGAAAGCAAAACTACTTTGTTTGGCCTTCCAAAAATGGGCATTAATTACATTAGAAATCTATTACTGTCTTACTTTTACTCAAGTAAAAGTAATTCAAAGATTTACTTGAGTACAAGAAAGTACTACATTTTTTATGTTCTTATGTATTAAAGGTAAAACGAACAACAACTTTTATTTATGAAATGAAGTGCAGTAAAAAGTATGACATTATGCTTTGGAATGTAGTGAAGTAAAGTTTTCCAAAGAAAATCACTCTGATAAACTACAGATACTTTTTTAATTTACTTGAGTAAAGTAAAAATGCTTCACTACTGTCCGCCTCTGTAACTAATATGAACAAACAATGAACAATACATTTATTACAGTATTTATTAATCTTTGTTAATGTTAGTTCATGAAAATAGTTCATAGTTAGTTCATGTTAATTCACAGTGCATTAACTAATGTTAACAAGCACAAGGTTTTGATTGTAATAATGCATTAGTAAATGTTGAAATTAACATGAACTAAGATTAATAAATGCTGTAGAAGTGTTGTTCATGCTTAGTTCATGTAAACTAACGTAGTTAACTAATGTTAGCTAATGAACCTTATTGTAAAGTGTATTATTTAATGAACCCAACCTAACATGGACTAAATATAAACAGTTGTTATAATCGTGTGGTTGTTATGGTATTTGGTTCTATAAATATATTTCCACATATTTTTCCACATAGTTATCTAGCTCAAAATTAAATGGATAATATGAAGATTTAACGTTTTTCCCTTTAAAGTTTATTTCTTGAAAAGAAGTACAGCACACTATACGTTACTTTTGCAAATTAATATTTATGTACCGGTATTAACTGTATTCACTCTTATTACTTTTACAGGACTTGTTTTAAAGTATTAAAATAGTATGCTTATTTTATAAAGCAGATTTCAGATTGTGTAGATTTATAACGCTGTGATGCCTAAATAATAAATTAATTAAAAATTAAAATTAAAATAAATTTTTAAACAAAGCAGTACAGATTTTTAATATCAGCCATTTATTGATTATTAATCATAACATTACAATAGTTATTGATTTATTTGAATAAGCCAGAATTGCATTATTGGTGTGTCCCTACTCTTAATGTCTGCCTTCATGAAATTAAGCGTCTTAATTTTCTTGTGTTTATTAAACTAATTTAAAGTCTAAGTCTAAATCAGGTGCTTTTTAGCGAAGTAGTTCTCATCTTGTTTTTATTTATCTAGGGACCTAATCAAGAAGTTTCTGGTGATTGATCGGGCAAGAAGGCTTGGAAACATGAAGGTAAGCAGGATTGTGGTGACAGATATTTTATGTGGTTCTTGTATGCTGAGCAAAGTAATTCAACAGGAATCAGCATCTGGGATATTTCCTTTGAGAACGCTGTATTGATAATATGCTTTTTGTCCATATGGACTCTTTATAGTCATCTTAAATTCAAGGCCAGGTTGAAAATCTATGAACAATCTAACATAATAAACTCTGTTTCTAGGCCAGTTTGCATCTTAATAAAGCTGCACGTGGCAAATAATAAGACCTTGATTGAGTCCTGCGAGATCTTTCTCCCAAAGGCCACAGTTGGCCACATATGTTTCCAGTTATGATAAGAAAGCTTCCTATCTGCCCAGAGGGGATGAGATGAGGCTCTGGAGAAACTCCCTGGAGTGATTCTGACACCGGGCAACTCTCCCACTGTACCTCCTTCCAACCCCCATCAGACGAGGTGGATAATGGGGAAAGAACTCCAGACAGAGTCCTTGTGCGAAATGTTTCTGCATCTCTAGCTATAGTAATTCACAGTTACGGTTTAATGGCAGTTACTTTTCTGAATTGTTCTTTCAGAGGAAATAATTCAGTAACTGGCACCAGATGAGGTGGCAGCAGTGCGCCAGGCCTGTCATGTGTAATGTGATGCATATTGTGTCGGTGATGTCATGGGAAGTTTGTGAATGGTTCGTCATTTTCCCGTTAATGCTGTAATTAGAATTCTCCACACGTGAGGAATGAGCTCTGCTGAAATATATATCTCGCTGTTTGTTTGGGGTTTTCTTCAAATTTCCTTTTTGTCATCAAAGCAGATCCAGAGTAAGAGATAAATAAGGAAAACCTTGAAATGTCACTTTTGGTGCACTTCCAAGGCTAGATGTTTCTGTTTTTAATTTAGCACTTTTGTTCTTTTGCTTTTTCTCCTCTGACTAAATGCAATGAGAGTTTAAGACCCGGCAGCCCAGTCACAGCTGTGTTTGCACTGTTTCCACAGCAAGGCCAGGTCCTGCTGGCAGCACTCATTCACAAGTGCTGATATCTGTTATTCCACTTGAGTGAATGTGTATCTGGCATGGTCCCACAGAGCAATGCATGGCCCAGATTCTGAGGTTTCTAGAAGACTTCAGTAGGTTAGCATTGTTGCCCCACTTTTCTTTTCCCTCTCTAAGAAACTAAAAAGACAGTACAGTGGTTGAAAAGACTGTTTGGGGTCAAATAAGATGTGTCTTACAAGATTAAGTCTAAAAGCGTTAATAGACTTTTTAGGTTTGTATGCTTACAGTTTTAACTGTGGTGGTTTGTGTAAGTGTAAGACATTATTCTACTTTAAAGGGTTAGTTCACCCAAAAATGAAAATTCTGTCATTAATTACTCACCCTCATGTCGTTTCAAACCCGTTAGACCCTTCGTTCATCTTCGGAACACAAATTAAGATATTTTTGATGGAATCTGAGAGCTGTCTGAGCCTGCATAGACAGCGATACAACTGAAATGTTCCCAAGTCCAGAGACGTAGCAAGGAGATCGGTAAAATAAGCCATGCGTCATCAGGGGTTCAGCCGTAATTTTACAAAGCTACGAGAATACTTTTTGTGCGCGAAAGAAAAAAAAAACGACTTTATTCAACAATTCGTCTCCTCCGCATCACCCTGGTGCCATTTTGGAGAATATCCGCTGGACGTAAACGGCGTATGCTGTTCTGTGTCAGCTGCGTCACACGGATACGCTGTTTTCGTTCAGATCAAATCACAACAACGTAGGAAACAGATACAGTGTGACGTAGCTGACACAGAACAGCATACGCCATTTACGTTCAGTGGATATTCTCCAAAATGGCGCTACAGGGTGATGCGGAGGAGACGAATTTTTGAAGTCGTTTTGTTTTTTTGTGCACAATAAGTATTCTCATAGCTTCGTAAAATTATGGTTGAACCCCTGATGACACATGGATTATTTTACCGATCTCCTTGCTACGTCTCTGGACTTGGGAACATTTCAGTTGCGTTGCTGTCTATGCAGGGTCAGACAGCTCTCAGATTCCATCAACAATATCTTAATTTGTGTTCTGAAGATGAACGAAGGTCTTACGGGTTTGAAACGACACGAGGGTGAGTAATTAATGACAGAATTTTCATTTTTGGGCGAACTAACCCTTTAATGTTCGTTTAGTTACAGTAACCTATCATAATCTTGTGTATTATTTTTGTCTTCTTCCAGAATGGAGCTGATGATGTGAAGAAGCACAGATGGTTTAAGTCAGTAGACTGGGATTCTGTGCCCTGTAGAAAACTCAAGGTAAAAGCACCACCGCTCCTTCGTATAGAGCTTTAGAATATGTCCTGTTATTAAAGATTTACACCACTATTAATTTTTGTAAGATTTCCAAGTCATTACTGGCCACATAACAGTGCCAACGCCTCATTAAAAAGTGGTCCTCTTTTACTTCATTTAATGTTAGAATTATATAGCCAGAATATTTCCCATGGTTTACCGGACATATTGCAGTTTCCCAGAAATACTTGGTAGTGCATAGTGGAAAGTGTACACGGCCATTCAGTTTGGGCTCGGTCGATTAAAAACATAGTTAAAACACACTAGCATTGTGAAATAATATTATATAATAGCTGTTTGTTGTATTAATATTACAATAGTTATTTAATATAATAAAATATTAATTGAATTACTTAATTTATTCCTGTGATGGCAAAGCTGAATTTTCAGCAGCTATTACTCCAGTCACATGATCCTTCCGAAATCCTTCTAATATGCTAATTTCTTATTATTATAAATGTTGAGGGGAAAAAAACAGTAATACATTTGGAAACTACAATACATTTTTTTTAAGTTAAAATTTTTTTATGAATGCTGTCACTTTTGATGAGTTTAATGATTAAAATGAGTCATTTCTTTTCCGACCGCAAACTTTTGAACAGTAGTGTGTATTTCAGTGTATCTAAAGCCTCTTCAATGACTTTCTCTCATTGCTGTGACAGCCACCCATAGTTCCCAAGGTGTCTCACGAGGGTGACACGTCTAACTTTGACACCTATCCAGAGGATGAGTGGAAGAAGGACACACCAGTGCCAGCTAAGGATTTGGAAATTTTCAAGGACTTCTGAAAGGATATTCTTTTGAATGAATAAAAAGACAGGACTGATGGAAGATAATGATTTAGCTGAAGTTTTAGCCTAACCATTCAGGAGACATTAAAAGGTCATAGTTGCATTATTATTATAGACATGTCTTGCCTGCTTGTTCCCGAGTCCTGCACACTTGAGAAACGGAAACAGACTTCTTCTGATCCTCATTAATGTGATCATAATCATAGTCAAACGTTTACCAAGGAAACAGTTCATCACTTCAACCTCTTGTATGATGAGCAACTTGATTCAACACCCTCTGAGTCTCTTATATTATGCAAAAGGAATGTTTTTAAATATCATTTCAAATAAGCAATATCAAGGTTCTTTAAGCTGGATCAAGACAATGTCTTTGCTTATGCCTAAACGTGTATGGTCATGGTTTTGTTTTGACTTTATACCTTAACAAACTTGCTGAATTAGAGCTTTAAGCCTGACAAATTTTATTTCTGGTTATCTGTACTTGCTGTGTTGATCCATTCCTCCCACATGGTATTTCTATGTAAATTTTGTAACATTAGGGCTGTTTCACACTGCACTAGCTGTGACAATGTGCTTTTATACTGGCAGCATTTCTCCTGCGTAACAAACCTGCCAGTCTATACAAAAAAAAAGAATAATAATAAAACAAATAATGCACACTATTAATACAAATTAACATTAATTACCAAAATAAATAATGGCAATTAATCTTAAAATGGTCATTCATATTTGAGACTACAAAAATGTATACTCTGAAATGTAATTTACATGTAGCTGTAGGCCATATTTACATCCAAAAAGTCATTCATCTAAACCAGAACCCAAACTCTAAACTGTATCGATAAATTGTCACTTGGATTCAGTCATAATTACTAAACAGAAAGTGCTGCTTGTGTGTGTGTGTGTGTGTGTGTGTGTGTGTGTGTGTGTGTATGTGTATGTGTGCGTGCGTGCGTGCGTGCGTGTATGTGTGTCTGTGTTTTTTCCAGATCGCAGGTAAATAATAACCTCCCGTATTTTATTTGATTACTGTAACCTGTTGATATTGTATGTAAGCCCATTTCTGTCACAAGAAAAAAAATGCTTTGGTAAATCAATTATTACATACAAAGTCATAATTATGAGGGGAAAATGCTAATTATGGCAAAAAAATAGAATTATGAGAAGTCGTTACGTTTTTTTGTCATAATAATTAATGTGACGTAATTATGTATCTCAGTTTTTAGTTTGATGAGGTACAAAGTTATAATTTGACATAAGTCAAAATTATGAAATCATTTGATTTATCATAGTGTAAAGTTTTTAGTTATTATTACTTAAAAGTCAAAATCATGACTTATAAGTGATTATAATTTAAAACAGATTAAAAAGTCATGCCTCTCAATTTAAACTTGTTTCATATGACAATTTATCTCATTATATGAGATTTTGGACTTTTTGTCATTTAAATGTTTTGTCATTTGTATTTTTATATAAATTTCTGCTTTTATGTCATAATTATGACTCATAATTTTGGCTTATCAAATTGACTTTTTATCTCATAATTTCGACTTTCTGTTGTAATTTTATTTATAAAAAAAAAAAAAAATGTTTTATTTCAGAATTATGACTTCCGTAAGTTGTAAGTAATAATTTTGACGTTTTATTTCATAATTTTGTTTTCCAAAGCATTATTTTTATATTTATGTAGTGGAAATGGGCTTTGATAGATAAGGGCACCAAAATAAATGCACACAGGATTCGTCTGCAGTGTGAAACAGAATGTGTTGTTGTGTTCTACTGTGCTGCTTTTAATTCTTTTTTTCTATGTAAACGTGCACTATAGATGTGTTTGATAATTGTGCTGCATCTCACTTATTTATTTTTGTTCATGAGCACCACATTTTTAAGGCAAGTTAAATAAGTTAAAAAATAAGTACAACTTGAACCCTGCCTTCTCTTACATTCATCAGTGTTGCGGCTCTGCAGTTATATATTATTGTGCAGCATCTCGAGTTGACCACAAAAGCATGGTTTGTGTGAATGGCCCCAAGAATCCAAAGAGCTTTTGAACACATTCCTGCCAAGATGTCAGTCTAAGAATACCAGATGAAGTAGTGGTACAGTAGCACTTACCTAATCAAACATGACCTCACAAACCTGTAGGTAACTAATAAATTAGCATTAATGCTTGTATTATGAGATGCCTGTTCAAATAATTTGGTTGTTGTGCTTTATGGTGTTCTATATGTGTTTACTAATCAGTTAAGCGCATAAACAATTTACTAGCCAGGTGTTTTCTAATTGTGTTTTCAGGGGGTGAATTTAGCAAAACACAGTTTACATTGCTTTGGAATGCTACTTAATATATGTTTGGCATTTAAATGCCTTGAATAATGGGAAGAGAACTATGGTGTGAAATGATTTAGAAAAATAGCTAATGTGTGTATGTTCAAAACAACTCTTCTGTTTCTGGACTTCCATAGTTTTTCTTAACTGCTTTTGTCTGAAGCAGTAATCTATCATTGTAAAGTCTACTGAATATCATTTATTTGATATCATCTCTTAAAATGACTGTTCTTTTTAAATTGCAAATGCAGTTTTATACTAAGGAAACAAACATGCAGATTTCACATTGACTTGACAGCTGTTACCATCTTTTTTGGGGGGGTTGTTTATTGTTTCCTGTGTGAATAATTTTTGCTGTAATCTCAATTTTTTTGTGTGTTCATTTTTACACTTGTTTGAGAAAAAAAGGTATTTTATATTGTTTGCAACAGCAAAAACTCAAATGAAGTTCTATGAACTGAAAAATTTTAGGATTTTATACTGGTTTTTAATCACTTTTTTTTCTTTCTTTTTTTTTTAAGTTTATCGGTACTATCATTTCATTGCCTTCTGAACATTTATGATGTATTTTAGATGGTACAAGTGCAATGTTACCTGCAACCAAGGTGTTATAAAAATTTGACAAAAATCTGCAAATTCTATGTCCATGAAAATAAACTGAACTTTTCATGTGGGCAAAACTATTTGACTAATAGACCTCATGCCTGTTATAACATTTCAGTATACTCTGACCAAACTTGTTGAAGTCTCATTAAGATGAGTTGGACTGTTGGCGCCAAGCCATACGCTCATTCACACCAGCCTCAGGAACCTTTTGAACTACAAGCTTAGTGGAAATTATTAGACCATTTACTGTAAGAGTCTTAATATACTCTTGTTTTCCTATATACCCACGATTAAGTGCTTGCCACAGTTTCATATGCTAGTATTTCTCTCAGTCCCTTTATAGTTTATTTTCCTTAAGCATTAATGTAAAATGTATATTAAATGTATGTTAGTAGTTAACTGAACAAATTAGCATCACTCCTTCGCAGCAAAAGCAGATGAATGATCTCATCCATTAAGGTGCCTTGAGACTATTGCATTTTTAAGAGGTTATTTCAACTAACTTTCTTCACTCTGCTCCTTGTGAAATCTGACTAGAGTTTAAACATTTTAATGACGTTTAGTCCTGTCAGACACACCACTGGGACAGGCCAATTTGCTTAATAGTTCCCTTACGGTCTTCTAAATGCCTGTACGAAGGATCTGTCCCCAACTTGATAGGAAATGGTTTTAATATATGGTATATGTACCCGCCGAACTTTGGCAGTTCTGCGTATTATATTTCCATTTGTGACAGGAAAGCAGAAACACACTTTACTCTTAGGATGTAAATGACATCTCCATTTAACAATGAGATTATTCATCTTTGTGTGCGCTCATCTGTTTATGTTTGGGTTGCTCAAATCCAACAGATTTTTGATACATCACCATTTTAATAATGTTTTCTGAAGCTGCGATGTGATAAGTTGCAGCTGCTGTTTTAATTATTGGTACTGTCAATGCAGCTCTTATCGATTACACTTTTTGGCTGAGTCAGTGGAGCTGAATGAAGTTCTTTAAAGGGGTCATATGATGTGATTTCAATTTTTCCTTTCTCTTTGGAGTGTTACAAGCACTTGGTGCATAAAGAAGATCTGTACTGTAAAGTTGCAAAGACTAAAGTCTCAAATCCAAAGAGATATTCTTTATAAAAGTTAAGAGTCAACCATGCCTACCTAAAACAGCTCGTTCTAACACGCCCCCACATGTCTACGTCACTATGTGGGAAGATTTGCATAATGCCGCCCAAATGTTCATGCAAAGAAAGAAGGCGTAACTTTTATTCTCGCTGTAGCGATGTTGTGAAGGCACTGTGTGATTCGTTGTGAAAGCGAAACTACTTTGTTTGGCTTTCCAAAAGAGGACGATATGCTGGTTGCTGAGGAAATACTACAACATTGCGCAGTGGATCGCCGGATCGGCTTTCACCGTGGACGAAGCGGAGTCCAGCCCGGGGTCGTCACATGTGGTTGCCGCAAGCCCGCCCGCTGCGTCGTTCTTAAGCCCACCGGCCGCCGCTAACTCTAGGCCACCGTGTGTGACGCTGTGTTTCGTTGTGAAAGCAAAACTACTTTGTTTGGCCTTCCAAAAATGGGCATGACTAGAAATCAGTGGTTAAGTTGTATTTACAACACTGTTCCAGAACACTTCAACCCAAATATTCAGATGTGTGCAGCACATTTTATGGAGGACTGTTTCCTGATCCTGGGAGAGTAGACTACAATGCCGGCTGCTCTGACTCAAAGACTGTAAGTAGGTTTTTTATATTTAAAGAGTTGTTATATTTTATATATTTAAAGCGAGTTTTTTGGGCAGTGTAGAGTAGGGCTTGTTGTTTGTCATTTTTCGTCACACGCTTAAGGTATTCAGCCAATCACAACGCACTGGATAGCTGGCCAATCACAGCACACCTCGCTTTTTTAGAACGATGAGCTTTGTAAAAATCGATTTACAAAGCGTTTAGCGTTTCAGAAAGGCGGGGCATAGAGGAGAAACAATAATGTACAGTATGTGGAAAATAATGTGTTTTTGGGACCTTAAACTGCATAAACTTCATTTCATTACACCAAATACACAAAATAATGTTCTTTTTAGCAGCATCATATGACCCCTTTAATCTTTTGTCCCATAGAAGACTGATTTTGATGGTTTATTGCTTTATTAAGAAAAAAAAATGTACAGTGTATTTGCTGCTGTGTTGGAATTAACCCTGATTTGAATTTGCAGCTTGGAGCAAAGAACCTTAAAAGTTGCTGAGAGTGGTGAGTACTTCTATAAAGAAACAAACCTATCATTACTCCCTCGTTCACCTACATGGCACCTACTGGAGTAAACAGGTCGAAACACCCCAAAAACCTCCATTTAGAAACAAAACTATGGGTCGAGACCTTGTGATGACTGGTAACCACAGTGATCAGTGCAATTAAAGGTGCAGTTGGAGATCTTGGAAAATGTTAACTTTAGCCTGATAGCACTGAAAGCGAACGTCCCACCCTCCCTGCAAATCACTGTCCAAAGCCACGCCCCCTGAATGCATATACACTCACAGACCAGAATACAAGAGACAACATTACTACAATCAACATCAGCGGTTCCCAATTCCAGTCGTCGCGCCCCCCGCTCTGCACATTTCATGTATGTCTCTTATCACGTGCAACGTTTGTTCTATTCGACCGTAAGTGCCCTGCGAAGTGGACATCACCAGATATTCCACCTTCCAGTTCGAAACTAGCGTATATGCTCCATGCAAAGGGCATTAAAGTGTGCGAGACGTAAATTTAAATAATTTTTATTTACGGCGGTATATTATGTGACACTTCACGCATCATATAGATCGGAACACAGTTCATGCACGTAGCTCAAATCTAATGAGCTGGTTATCTGAATCGGGTGTGTTAACTAAGCGAGTCATGCAAAATATGCAGAGCAGGGGGCACGAGGACTGGAATTGGGAACCGCTGGGCTACATCATGTGTCATTCACCGGTGAGAAAACTTTAAACGTACTACAATACCAGGAAGGAAGACCGGGTTGTTGATGTTTGTCTGCCATTCTTTCTCTGTCTGCACAGCGTGCGGGAACACGCTGATGATGTATTCTAGAGGTATCCTAATACATACGTTAACAGGCAGGTAGGAAATCCAATTAAAACGCTCAGACCGAGCATTTTGATTGGAGAAACATTTCTTGGTCCTACGCCTTCCACA